GAGATCCGATGATCACACAACGGTGCTCACCTCGGTACAGAGCTGGGGATTTTGACTTCAGGTAAGTGCTTGATGGCATGCCAAGGGCCCCCAAATCCAATGCTCAGGGATGACCTACTTGGAGGTTCATGACTAGTTCTACGTAGGGTTAGAAGTCGGGTAACTATATTTATAACCCATGTTAGGGGACTTGTAGCCCACATACAACTAATTACCCACGAACCTCCAAGTAAGCGATCATTCATCCGAGGGTTTGGGTCTGTCACCAAAAGGCGCGGAAGCTTAGTCGCAATACCACCTTTTGCGCCCAGAGCTCGAAGTACTAAACCATGCTAAATCCTGAGCCTGAAAACCTAGACCCCAAATCCAGATCCTATGGGCCATCAAACTGCCTATGTGCTGGGACTGGATACGTAGCTGTGAGCAGTACAGCTTTTTTCAATTGTTACTTCGGAGTTACCCTGCAATGCGGGCTTCGTCCTTGCGAGGTAGGAAGGGGAAAAATCATATCCTATGAGCCTACGGGGCCCTAGCTTCCTACATAGTCGACAGCAGGGCTCTGTCATAATGTGCATCGGGCCTTACTACTATGGGTTGCGTCAGCATCCCCATAAAAAGGGTGCGAAGGACGCCCTAAACCCTAAACCCCTCTATAAACCCTAAACTGCAGTTTGGACCCCGCGACTAAGAGCCTGCCGTCGTCGGCAGTCGTCGGGTCGGTTCAGAGGCTTGGGGCTCAGGGTTTAGGGGGGTTTAGGCTCGGAAGAAGCTACCTTTTTCAGGATTTATATAAGGAAATCATATAAGGAACCCGAAAGAGGTAGGTTATTCAGGGTTGAGGTAGGGGTTAACTATGCTCAGGGACCCTCTGTGGAGTGTCCAGAAAGTCGCTTCGATGCAAGTGCAGTGGACTCTTTTTAGGCGTCCGGTGTCCGGTTTCGGGTGGCTCGGGGTCTCAAAGCTACCCGAGGTTCGCAACTCTCAGGCCGAAAAGAAACAAATCGAACTACCCCGGATCCCAAGACTGCTTGAAACCGTATGATGGGCCGCAAAGGCCCTGCACACCCTCCACGTGGGGGTCTTGTAGTTGAGGGTGAATGGCAGACACTGTTTCAAATGTGTTGTGTGTCTACTACGCACATCGCATTGTCCGTCACATGGTCTCGCCCCTTTGCACAGCTGCACCCCTTTGTGCAGGAAGTACAAGTTGGAGCCGTCGCTGGTGGGATTTCTTGGCATCGCCGCTTGCCGAAACGGGGACCGGTCTCTTGAAATTGAGCGGCCAAGGTTGGAGTTTCAGGCTTTCAGGCTCTGGGGGAGTCACCAGTATTTGCCCAGGTCTGCTTCTTGTCAGCCGGCTTGGGCTTGATGGAGCTGGACTTCTGCACATCACGCTCCTCGGATCGCAGGTTTCGAGGCTTTTTGTGCTTCATATAAGGGTTTAGTTTGGAGTTTGTGTGTGTGTTTCAGGTTTGTGCATACAGCGCTTTGGGGTGTTTCGCACCTTCGGCACTGCCTAAACCCTGAACGACAAATCCAGTCCGCCATAAATCCTAAAGTCACAAAACAATCCCTAGTAACACCGGCACCCGCCCTAAGCCAACCGAAACACTAAGCCTTGAACCCCAGACCTTCAGGGTTCGTGTGCCCTTGAGTGCTTAATTTGGCCCTAAAGCACCTATACAAAGTCGACTTTTTCGGCCAAAGTAATGACAATCGAGGCCCAACCAATTCTGTTGGGGTGGGGGTCCATATATATATAATCGTTATAGTATAACCCCTTATTCTAGTTATTAAGGCCCTTATATGACCATATTTGTACATGGGCCCTGAAAGCCGTGGCGAGAGCGTAGACAACACCCAGACTTCGAAGGAGCCATCGCAAAGCGAATGCAGCGAAGTCCGAGATACGAGGCCAGCAGGGCCTTAGGGCTCAAATGAAAGTCAGCCGCATCGATAACAATAACTATTTAGAGGGGGGTTCATTTTAAAGGAGTCTATAAAGATGATTACAGGGTTTTAGTATAGGGGCCTAAATAGTTACAAATACTACGTTTTGGGCGTTCCTCATAATAACTATCGTATCATGGGCCCCCAAACCTTATTCTAGTCAATTGTTGAGGCCCCTATATCATAGTACCCTTATAGTCGCCCTTGTAGAGCCATTTCAAGGAACCCCTTGTCTAATTATTGAGGCCCCTATATTATTTACTAGGATGTTTGGTTGCCTGGCTGTCAGTGTTTTTGGAGCTGAAAATCGGGCTCACGAGCTCCCCGGCACCATGTAACTGTTCGGTGAGTTATACCTATAGTCTCCATTGTAGTTCCTTTTTTTGGTTAACCAGTTTTATGGTTAGGATCCTATAATAGACTTTTTGGTAATTGGTTAACCAAAAAAAGGAACTACAATGGAGACTATAGGTAGAAACAGGTTCGGTGCTGTTCTGGCTATGAGAGCTGGAGATTTGTTGGGATGCAAGATAGATTCTTAGATTCGGTGGGTCTAGCCTTGTGTTGCGCCAGAAGTGCAGGTTACGTTTTTCCACAGGAATGTGATGCTAACGACCCAGATGCCCAGTCCTGACGCCCTCAGACAATGAGGGGTTCAGGTTCTGATAAAGGGAACTCCAGAAAGTTGGAATATGGATTAATGGTAGGATCCCCTATAATTTACCTTCAAGGGGTTACGATAATGATATTCCAACTTTCTGGCTTCTACTGTAAAGTATTCGGGGGCCCAAAGACGATGCTACGTGCTTGAGGCTGGAGTGTTGATCTGTTTGACTAATAGCAGTGACCATAGCAATCAAGCAGGATCGGAGCCTGGGTTCAATATAATAAAGCGATAAAGACCGATAGCTGCAATAGTTATGAACAATTAACCACAAGAACTGCAATAGTAGTGCTAGATATACTACTAGAAATTACAAAAGTTTTAAGTCTAATAGTGGACATAAAACTATAGCAATGCTTGTAGCAAGAAGAAGGTTGATGCTACCTTAGCCTACCAAACCCTACTTTTTTGTAGGTTCTTATTATGATCCCTAATATGGAGTTTATAGGGACTCTGAAAAAAAGTAGGGTTTGGTATGTTAAGGGAAGTGAGCGCCTTTGATCAGGTGCTTCACTGGCTCTTCCGCACCTCCGAGGTAACATCTCGGGTCTGCATGTTCGTTTGCTACATGGCCCCCGGGCTGCAGTGTAGCGTTCCTTTAAAGGGTTGCTTGACAGGGTACTACAAGGGTTTAGGGTGTTTGTAAAGCTTAATGCTGGTAGGATTCTGGGTTATGGGGTTTGGCTGCCGGGTGACAACCCGCTGAAGGGTTGAGTTTCGGGGCCCTGAACCCCCCGAAAGCTACTCGTGTGGATTGTTCGAAGTCTCAGTTCCTGGAAGCTGCGCGTCGCACACTCAGGTTTGCTGATGCTACGAACCAATAGAGAGGGTCCACCAACGGCCTCAAACCCAACATCGAAATCTGGGAACACGAGGTCACCACGCGCCAAACAAAGGATTGGCAGCTGTGGTGGTGCAGCCTGGAACGCCTTTGGGTCCAGGGATCAGTGATGCAAAGGATTCCTGGAAGAAGACTTGACCTAGAAGCTACGCATTATCATTAGCAAAGGATGCAGGGGGATAGTGTAGTCTGTTCCCTAAACTGTATGGCAGAAGCTAGAAAGGAACATCATTATCCTGATGCCCTGAAGGTAAGATACAGGGACTCCTAGCACTAATCATCCTTAATCCATGTGCCAACTTTCTGGGGTTCGCTGTTAGGTCTCCCGGAAAGTCTCCAAGGCATCCTTGCGGCGGACATGGCAATCACCTGCCTGCTCGTGACGGTCGGAAGGGCGTTTGGGTCTAGAGCTTCGGGTGTCTACCTGTAGCCGACGGGGCCTTCCTTTTTAGGGTTCCCTAATATGATTGCTTTATATAAGTCAATAAGGGGTTAGTGTAGGGCTTATGAAGCCCCAAACCCTGGACCCTACATCCCTGAACAGGGTAGTGCGGGCTCGTCCTAAGCAAGAGGGGAACTATACACTTAACCCCAAGCCTCTGAACCCTGATGTAAGTCAGGGGTCTTCCTAGAGAGAGTGGGGTTCAGGGCCCAGGGTGAGGGTGTAGAGTCGGGGTGTAAAGTATAAGGGTTCAGGGTTAAGCGTTGGGCTTTGACCTTAATAAGGTTTAAGGGCTCAGGGGGGCTTGATGTTCATAAGGGACTCAGGCTTCGAGACCACGAAGTGTGGAGCGGTTTGGGCTGTCTAACCAATACTCAGGCCCATATATTACCTAAACCCATCCATGCAGTTCACCTTCAATTCGATACACGGTTTCTTCTCAAGGGCCCCTTATATCTTATAACAACCTAATTTCAGCCACCGTTGCAGCGTAAATGCACGAGCCCATAGAAGCGAGCAATGGCGGCCGAAATTCAAGACAAGAGCACATGTACAGACTAACTAGAGATAATATATGGTTACTAATTACTAGACTTCTTGTCAAGTAGCTTTAAAATTCAGGCCGCCGCTATGCTTTATTTTACAAAGATCGGCACCAGCGATGAGCTTCGACTTGTCGATCAATTCCCACTTCTACTGCTCCCCCTCCTCCTCCTCCTCCTCCTCCTCCTCCTCCTCCTCCTCCTCCTCCTCCTGGCATTCTACTACTGTTGGTGGCATTTGGTGGTGCTTCCCTTTGCATGCCTTTGGGGGCCTCTACTTGCAGAAGACATCGGTAACCTTATGCCGGCCACTTCTGCTCAAGATTCGAGGTGATATCGGTCATGTAACGCACCAAATGTGGGACTCATGCCTCGAAGAATGTCTGCAGTCCGCAGTGCCACCAAGGGGAGATACCCAGTATCGTGGAGCATCTATTACCGAAGACCCGAAGCACAAAGCACGCATGCCACTCCAGCCACAGCATGACCTTGCTCCGAGATGAAAGAGCTTGGCCTGACAACTAGCCCGTAATCGTCTACTTGCCCGGATCTGCCGCTGCGATGCCAGCCCAACCTGGGCGTTTCTCCACCTCCAGGCGGATCCAGCAATGGACCAGCGACCAGTGGCTTCCCACACAAGAACTTGGGATGGGCTTGGGGAACCCAAACCCTAGGGCTCCAGCTACCTAGTAAGTTACTGGGGTAACATATGGTTAGTAACCTACTATTTAGGTAAACAGAGCCCTAGGCAGAATTCAACCCTCAACCCGACCCTAAGTCTGAACCCAACAACCCGCAGTAGACCTCGCCTGGCCACTCGGAGTTGCGAGAGGGCAAAGCCTAAGCTCGGTGCGCATGTCGTTTTCGCTGCTTGGAGGTGCATGGGTAGTTATATGTAGGGTTATAAGTAGGGTAACTATACTTATAACCCATGTTAGAATTAGAGGACTTATAGTCCCACTTATTAGGAGACGTATAATCCCACTTATAACTACCCATGAACCTCCAAGTGTTGCCAAGGCAGATCAATCCAGGGTGGCTGGGACCTCGCGCCTCTCAGCCCTACAGCCACTTGGGAAGCTACAGGATTAAATTCAGGGGTTCGGGGCTTAGGGAACAAGACCATACTTGCCGTCAGCTTGAACGGTCCGACAGCTGTTGTCATTTCAGCGAGGATAAAGACTACGAATTTTGGTAAGGTTTGGTGATTTGTGCTTCGGGTGTGCCACGTCCATCGCTTAGCGTGGAAGTAAACATGAAGTGGATGCATTTGCGCGGCATTTGCGTACTTTCCAAGTTTCAATGGGGCTCCGTTGGAGGCCAAAGCCCGAGAAGCGTAAATCCTGAAGCCAACCTCCTAGAACTTTAACCCTGCCCTAAGGGTCCAGGTATCTCCTTAGGAGGGTCCGGAATGTCCTGGAGAGAGTCCTTGGGTCTTTTTGGGGTCTCCGAAACCCTCAATTTTGAGGTTCCCCAATTTGTTAGGACCCTTAGGGTGTACACTGTACCCCATGCTCACCTATAACAAGCCTTGTGTGGTATGGTATTTGGGCCCAAGAACCCCATAGTGTGAGTCCTTATAGAGCCTTAGGGTAACTCTCAAGATTTCAATCCTCTGTCCACGCAGTTTCTCGGATGGGATGCGATTCGCGTACGAGGGCTTCGGGATGCGGGTACTTACTTCTCTAAGCTAGGGTCCTTCTGTAGGGAACCTTATGAAGGACACCCTTGTAAACAATGACCCTTACCAAAAGGGACCCTGATTCAGAGATCTACCCTTGTGCAGGAAGCCCCAGATCACGGGTTGTAAATTGAGATGGGTTACATCTGAGTCTGGCGATTGCAACCCTAAAGAGCGAGAGTTTTGGGTTCCCAGGTATAAGGGCCTAGTGTTTTGGGTTTCGGCCCTCGAGATGGTGGAAAGTTACTCAGTCGGGTAGGTAACCTTTAATCTTTTTGGGGTACCTTTATAATCCCAAAGGTTAACGTTTAGTTCCGCAAGGATACCAGGCGATCAACTAAGTGTCTGAGTGAGTTTGTGCCTGTGTGTGTGTGTGTTTGTGTTTGTTTGCTCCGACTCCCTCTAAAGCCACGTCGGTCCCACACTCTGAGAGTGTCTCGAACGAACACTCCAGCATCCTAAGCCTGGCCGAATCTGTAATTATCATTGCCAGAGTAAGTAGAAGCGGAAGAGTAATCCAAAACCTCGGAAGTCCCTAATCCCTAAACCTTCTAACTCCTTCAAGCATAAGGTTTCAAGCCGCATCCAAACCCTACGGTCAAAATTCTCAACCCTTTTACATCGAAGCCGCAAGCACAACGCGGAAAGCCATTATTGTGACTGTACCCTTATTAAGATGTAACACCATTCTTTGGGCACCTTAGCTTCTTGTCGTAGGGTCCTAACCTAGGGGACCAGTTAAACCCCAAACCCTGCGAACCCATTCTAAAGAGCGCATAGAAGAAAGGTTACTACACACATAACACTCGATGAAAGACTTTAAACTTAGTTCTAGGGGCTTGGTGATAATTATAATGATGTTTTCTGGCATCTTACACTATGACTACAAAAAGGGACCCCAAATAGTATTGGTAATTGTTTTGGGCCCCTATAGTACTTTGTTTTGGCGAAGGTCAGATCTGGGTGAAGCATTTCAGTGAGCCGATGCCTGACGTTCCCTACAGCCACTTCCTCATGCTGCTTGCTGGAGTTGAATCGTGTGCCTACTAGGGTTGCTGCTTTTGGGGTTTAGGGTTTAGCTGATTGCCGGAGTTTTTGTTCAAGACGGCTGCAGGCTTGGGTTCACGATGTTATCGACTTTAGATGGTTTATTCTTCATCCCAACCCTACCTGATGTCCTTATGTCCCCATAGAAAGTTTGCAAGACCCTTCGGAAACCGCACAAGCTATGTTTCCCTTCTTTCGGAGCGCGGCCCAGTGGTAATTATCATTCAGAGATGCAAATCTCGAGGACTGACCCCTAGAAGGTCTTCGTCTTCATCTATTGTTCCTAGACTCTAAAAGCCAGCCGGACCGGAAGTTGCGTAATTTCGCCCGTTCCACATCCTCACTCGACAGAGGCAGGCCCACGACAGCTTGGATGCCGACGTGATAGAAAAGATCGACTATGCCCTTGACATTGTCAAGGTTGATGACTGGCGGCAGGAACCCATGGCATGATGTTTTCTCACCCAAAGGGTTCTTATGTACCGATCTAGTAGACTGTAGGGTTCCCATATTAGGAAGGACAATTATGACTTAGGGAAGTATCCCCCGTAACAGTACATAGGGCCCTTTGGGTGAGAGCAGGGTTTGAGGGTTTAGGCTTTTTGGGCTGTAGGGGTTTCGTCTTTGGGTTGTGTTGTGGGGCTATAGTATCTTCTAGGCCAGCCAGCTTTACCTGGGATTTGGGTACTGGATGCCATCGCATAGACGTTTGGGCTTGGGGGGTGAACTTGGCCAGTGAAATGTCGAATTTGGTCGGGGTCCTGAATCCAAGGGTAAAAGGAGGGCCCTTAATAAGGACCCCTGGGTATATACCCTCAATTAATATAGCCATTATATACCCATTATATAGCCCATAATAGGGTAGGGGTCCCCAGTAAGGGTCCCTCCTTTTCCCCTTTGACTGAAGTCGTTGAGCAAAGTCACCCGAATGTATTTGCCCCATGTTCTGCAGTTGTTCTTGAAGCCAAAGTGTTTAGTCTCGGCACTTCGTGCGTGCGGCTCAATTCCCACGGCAATGCTTCTGGATCGGTCCCAGCTTCATACTGTGGACTAGTTTAATTCGTATACTGTTAACGGCACCCCAAAACCCTAAAACCCCAAACCCCTAAACCCTAAAACCCTAAACCCTTAAACCCATCAAAGAACCATGTGCCTCGCCTGGATTCTCCGAGTGTGAGCGCCGAAACCCATCAAAGAAGTCAAATGAAGAGCCCAGCACCCTGTCAGGAAGACTGTCCTGTGGTAAGGGTTTCTGGTTTAGGGCTCGCATGCTGAAAAAAAAGGGCTCGCATTGACGTGCAGGTGCATCCGGACATTCAGGGTTGTTTGCTCTTGGACATTCCGCGTGTAATCAGGGAGATGTGGCATCGACATTCGGTGGTCGTTACTCGGAGTACTTGCCCTTCGGAGTGGAATGATGCGGTGTTACGGTTTTCGGGCCTCAGCTGAAGAGCAGCGGAGGGCAGTGCTGGCAGTCATCAAGTCCGGTTTGAAAAAAAGGCTTGACGAGGGATGCAAGCGCGGGAGTGAGAGAAACGCAAGAAGTGAACAAGCGTCGACGAGGAGTGTTCGCTGGCACACAATCCAAGCCCATGGTGAAAAAATGTTTAGGGTTTAGAGTTTAGGGTTAGTCTCAGGTAATGGGGACCAGATTTTAGGGTTTTTGGTTGCTAGGGTTCCCGGTGGCAGTCCAGAACTCGATATGCCAATCAGAGTACGTCAGGGCGGTGCCATGCAAGGTCCACCCTCATTTCGCACTCGGGGCATTGAAACCAAGTAACAGTTTCATGCCAAACTCCGATTGCCTAGAAACGCTTGAACCAGTATTGTTGGATTCGAAGATCGATGTCAGACAGGAGCAGATGACATAATCGTTTAAGGGGTTGGGATCTCAACCGATACGGCGGACTCCTGCAAAGTGTCCGCCCGAACCTAAACCCCTAACCCGCCCACCTGGAGAAGCTTCCTATAAAAGACTCCCAGTTGCCAGAGTCCGAATTTGTACACCGCACGAATAGCCCTCCGAACTGGAATCCCTAAACTCCCTAAACCCCACGACCTTTCAAACCCTGAGAAACCTCTGTTCTGAAGGAGCGAAAGATGAGAAAGAATCCTCCAGCAGCTCCTTGGACTCAACAGGAACACGCGGGCTTTAGGGTGGCGGGATTAGCCCCGCACACCCCCAACCCACTACATCGCAACGGCCTGAGTGGCTGCCGCTTTTAGCCGACCCGTAGCCAACGAACTACCCCCCCCCTTCGAACCGGACACTGCTCGCCTGCACATTCTCCGAGTTGCGAGAGTCCAAACCCTCAGCTGGATTCAATGGTGGGTTCTGTAGCTCAAGGTCTGAACTAGTAAATCCGAGACCGTAGGAAGCAGAAACCTAAAGGCCCTCAACGTCCGGGAAACCTGAGAAGAGAGAGTGTCCTAAGCCCCTAACCCGAAACCCGAACCCCAAATCCTAAACTCGACCCGACACAACTAAACCCTCAAAGCCCCAAACCCTAATACCCTAAACCCCGTCGGTACTCCAGAGTGTTAGCGTCAAAACCATACAGATCCCTAACATCCCAACACCTTTTGAATCCCTAGCTACCTAAACTAAAGGGCACTTGCGTGGGGGGGTGTCCTGGTAAGCCTACCCATAAAGTAGTTCCTTTTTGGGATTACCTTATAGGATTCTAAACATGAGCCCCAAAAAGGAACTACTTTGGGGCCTTAGGGTAGAAGCTGGTTTCATACATATGTATCCTGTTGACTGAAGTAGTTCCTTTTTGGGGTTCATGTTTAGAATCCTAAAAGGTAATCCCAAAAAGGAACTACTTTGGGGCCTGAGGGTAGAGATGAGGTGGACAAGCTGCCGCTCCCGGCATCGGCTCCCTCCTTCGGCGGCTTGGAGCAAGATTGGGGTTTTGGGGCTTTGGGGTTCAGGGCCTATAAACGGTTTAGGGTTTAAGGGGTTTTGGGGCTTTGGGGTTCAGGGCCTATAAACGGTTTAGGGTTTAAGGGGTTTAGGGGTTTTGGGGCTTTGGGGTTTAGGGCCTAGAGGGTTTGGGGGCGTGGCGTTGAGGGTTTGGGGCTCAGGGTTTAGGCTTAGTTTGCGATTTGGGGCTTGAGGTGGAGTAGGGCTTTAGGAAGTTTAGGGCTTGATGGGTTTGGGCGCTTGCAGATTGGTGTTTAGGATCTTAGTCTTGGGTTGGAGTTTGGGTTTAGCGTCCAAGTAAAGCACTGGGAGTTTGCATCGCAGGGGTTCGATGGCAGGGTGGAATCTTTCGGGAGCATGGCTCGTTGTTTTTCGGTGTAGCAAACAGTCAAGTAGGAAACCCGGACAGTGTTTGTTGGCTAGGAGCAAAAAATATCCCCCCCGATCGAAAGATACATTTTTCCACACAAGACCAGGAAACCCCACCGGCCGGGGCAAAGTGGCTTCAGTCCTGCGCGCCTTCGCGTGCTGGAAACCCGAGGCAGGGAACTTCCCGAAGAGGTCTGCAGGGTCTGAGCGGAACCAGGCTTGAGGCTTTAGGGTTTAGGGGTTTAGGGTTTAGGGCTTGAGGCTTTGGGCCACCTTAAACTGGTTGAACTTCGCATGCAATGTCGCAGCCCGGTGGCTGCTCGATGGAATTTCTCGAAGCTCGCTCTTGTCGAAAGGGCCATGCAGATTCTGTGGATGTAGAACCAAGCGGGTGCCTGAACTGCGAGTTGAGCCTCCTTTGCTGGCATGAAGTGCAGCGAGGGAAGGTTTCTTGAATCCCAAGCCTCGTAGCTACTCGGATCGGCTCAGCTCATCCGGCTCCTATATAAGTCCTTTCTCCTTCTTAGAAATAGGAAGCATAGACCGTCCCAGTCTAATGCAAAGCTGCAAAGCCATCAACCCAACAGCACTTGAACTGGGGAGGACTGGTTTCTTGCTGCACTTACTTACGCCCTTAAGGTTAACAGCCTCGCGCTCTAACCAAATGAGCTATGGAAGCTATTAAAGCAAGTGCAGTCCTGCCCACGGTCTGAGGCCATCCGGAAAGACAAGCATACACATACGTACGCACACACACACACAACTCACAACCGCATTTATCGGCAGTCACTTATCGTCAGTAAGTGCAAGAGGGCAGTCCTCATGGACTGTCACTTCAAAAGATCCTGGCTTCGGCAAGGACGCTGTGTGAGATCCCTCGAGCCTTTCTTGGCCCACGAGTTTGGTGTCGCTTATCGGGGCCGCTAGCAGGCAGCACTGCACATTGCAGTCTTTGCGCCTGCCCCTGCTTCGGTGCGCACAGACTCCTGGGCCAGGACATCACAGCCCCAGATGTGCCAACGTACCCCTTTCTTGGGATCTGAAGCGTGTCTCACACGGCAACTTCTCCCGCGGCAACCCACACCATGCCCTGACGGCAGTCAGGCTCCTCATGCCGTCACATGCCTGTCCCAGAAGAAGAGGAAGCCGAAAGATGCCACGTCTGAGATCCGGATCCCTTGGACTCAGTGGGTGTGGGCGCTGGAAGACAGGACGAGCCAGTCGAGCTGTCATTGCATGGAGAAGCTGCAGGAGGCTAAGATTGACTGGCGCCAAGATCTTCATGGAGCCATTCTGCTTCCGCCATGCGATCCGAAGCCATCTGTCCTCCACCATGCGACTACGGCCCTGCGACATCCTGGTCACCGAAGATCTGGAGCGAGAGGTGATGCGAGCTATCAGGCAACTCCCTTAGAACCTGCGTGTGGTCCCTAGAAGCTCCCAGAACATCGCCTCCAGAGACTCTGAAGGGGGAGCAGTGTCGGTGAGCCGCTCCTTCTTAAACATCCCTGCACTTCGTCAGGGGAATGACCTGACCTGTCCGCGGTCTCCGGAGCAATGAGAAGCTTGGTGGAGATGGTGCACGGAATGGAAGCTGGCAAACGGCGCCTCCCTGCGCAGCCGGCGCCGACGAAACGCCGGAGGCGGACGCGGTCTCCATCAACGGAGTCCCTCCCGAGCATGGTGTGTGGTCCAGAACGCCTTCGGTGAACGCAGAATCGGAGGCCGTGTGCCTAAACTATTACTCGCGGAGCACTCTCGCCGTTGTCCTTCGGCCAGCGCAACATCCAGGAGGGCGCTGCTGCCATCCACTACTTCAGAGTTGGCCCTGTTGAAGGCCGAGAAGCTCCTGCTCAAGCCGAAAGCCGCATCATCCGGCTCTGCAGTGAGGGGTGGCTGTTTGGGGAGCACGCCAGGCGGACCTTCCATCCTCGGGCTCTGCATGGCTCTTGGTGTGAGGGGTTGCATGTCATTGCATGTTTGCAAGGATCGCATGGACGGGGACGAATTTCAGGTGGCCAAAGCTCTGCGCTGTCAGTTCGAATTCGGCTAAGATCACCGCAGCGGCGATGCTTCCACAGGGCGTGTGTCCAAAGGTCCTCGATGTTTAAGGGCCTCCTGCTGCTACAGCGGCAGTCATTGCACATGTTCGCGGTTGCCCCCGAAACGGTTGGTTAAATTGAGCAGGCAAGGCATGGCAACCTGAGGCTAGAAGCGCTGCCTGACGAGCCTCGACCATTCGCAGCCGCTTCGACGGTTGCAGATCGAGTTCAATCATAAGGGTGGGTTTAGGGTTAAGGGGTTGATTGCAGTCCCTGCTCGGGGTCTAGGGCTTTAGGGCTTAGGGTCTGGATGGCAGTCGCAACAGGCCCGGATGCAAAAAAGTGTCTGGATGGAGGATTGGGATGCAAGCCTCCAGGGTGCCAAGACCGCCGCGGAAAGCGCCGCTGCAATGCCCGTTGCCCGTTGCTCACTCCCTGCTGGAGGCTCATCGCTCTTAAGGGTGCCCTCGCCAGCTATCGCCACCGAGGAGGGCTTGGCCTGGACAGGGACGGAGGCGTCGTTCGTTTGGCTACAAAATCGGATGAGAGACAGCTCGATCCACGGCGTCCACACCTGATTTTCTGCCGTCCCGAACATGCACATGGGTGGTTGTCAAAATGATGGTCCCTCTTTTGGGTCCCTAATATAGTACGGCACCCAGTATTTAGGGTACCCAAAAAGGGACCATAATTTTGACAACCACCGAGATGGCAAACCTTTACACTGTCAGACCTCAGCTTCCATTACACCGCTGATCGCTTGACAGCAGATGGTGAGTTGGGACCTGCTGCGTTTAAGCATTGAGGGTGGCTGCCACCTTCAGCGCTTAAACCCATAGGCATGCCGAGTGCAGGCAGTCCACCACTTCCCGATACCCAGCCTGCCGAGCGCAATGCGGTGTGCCAATCCCTTCTGGCAAATCTCCTTTGCTGCTTCAGCTTTCTATCGTGGGCCTCGTCGACTGTCATAAGTTCGCGGATTGAACATTCGAAGTGTAAAGGCTGCACATGATGTCCACCATGGGACAGCAGTGACCCCCATGCCCGAAGCATTAGTCCCGAGCCAAGCATAGGGCACGAGGGCCTGCTTGATGAGGCTTCTTCATCTATGTCGCACCCGGACATGTGCCTTCACGTGACCTTCGGGGTTACGGATGCTAGTGTTGATTGCTCTGGTTTCTTGTGCAAGTGCCAGTCTCTTCATTTCTGTTGACAGCATTGCTCCAGCAAGCGTCATGGTCAATTCCGTTATTGCTCGTTTGGTAGTGCTGCTGCTGTTGATGACACTAGGTTCTTTCATCGGCACATCTTGCGATAGCAAGCGCGAAATCCTACGTAGCAAACGAATAATCTCAAGTTCCTGCCCTTCAATAAGCCCAAACCGAAAACCACAAAGTCGCGAGCCCTAACAAACCCCAAACCCCAAACCGACAGCCCCTACACATGAATACTGTTTCAGGGAAATTCCGGCGCAGCAAAGACTAGTCGTTTTGACTCGATTGTACCACGGCAAACAACCAGCAGCGGAAGCCCCAACCACTTTCCCCAAACCCCACCGTACTCCACCAGCCGCTCTAGCCCTTTCCATTGAACCACTAGCCCGAAACCGCACGCCAAGCAACTTAGAAACCATATTGAACTGCACCCCCTGTCTGGACCCTAACAAGACCCCACTACCACTTGCATGAGCTGGTTTGGCAGCAAACACAAAGCGGAGCCTTCAACGAGACACCCCTAACCCCCCAAAACTCGAAACCCTTATCCGCAGCCGGCCCACCCCTCCGTAAGAGTCAGGTCCAGTTAGGTTTCACTAAACTTAAGCCGAACCCAATCGAAACCTCACAAAGCTCAAGCCACACACACTCCAGAGTCCCAAGCCCTCATCCTCAAAGCTTCAACCCTTATCCTGCAACCCAAAACCCCCACCTAGACCCCCCCCAACTACCCTTTATTGTAGTCCCTAAGTACCTCTTAGTGAGAAAGATTAGAGCCCTGTGAAGGGTGCTTGGGGGATGCTGGCAAGCTCCAAAGCTGTAGGCCTCAAGCCTTACATCCCCAAGCGCTTGGATAAAGTGACCCCAATCCCCCGTTGTTCGGGGCTGAACGGAAGGGATGAATGAGGCCTTAGGGATTATGGGGTTTCAGATTATGGGTTGGGGTCACCGGGATGTTGGGTGGGCCTTGCTGTTCGGTTTTGGGTTCCCGGGTTCGGACATTTGACTCCTAGGGGTCCTGCAACCAAGCAGGCCCTTTCACATAGACGCACTTGATTTTGCAGAGTCATCTCCGTTGTTTCGCATGTAGATTCTGCGTACATCAAAGCAGCTGGCGATTGAAACTCAAACGAAAATTCCGCGTCGAGGTCGGCTATCACCCTGACTTGTCACTGCTAGCTGCGCACATCATTGCTGTCACTGGCCGCTGGGGCTCTTCAGGATGTGTGTTGAAGGTCAGATGTAGGCGGAAGGCTTTAGAAAATCCTTCAGTTCCGCGCCACTAGCTGAGAGACCCATGTACCCCAGACAGATCCTTATGCGAGGACGTTGACTTCTAACCTTCTCACATTTCTTGGCCAAGTCCGCTGAAGATATTTGCGATGCTACATGGCCCCACATGTGACGCACAACTAGCAACCATGGCTTCCGACCCGAACCCCCTTTTACGGGTAGGTGACATGTGGCGGGCAATTCAACCCGCAGATCCTGAGTATAATAGCACGATCAAAACTGAGCGATGCCCGAGAAATTCCTGCGCATGTCTTGGAGCGAATTGGGGATGTAGAATTCAGAAGTTGATGCGAAGCATGTGAGAGAGAGAGAGAGAGAGAGAGAGAGTTTACGTTAAATAAAGGGGACAAAACTGTACAAGGGTGAATTCAGCTGCCATCGGCACCCCTACTGTTCCCGTGCGCTTGTCATGACTGCCGGGATCATTGCGCATGCTATACTCTGTGGGCATAGTACTACCAGCACCTCCAATGCTGCCACAATGTCGACTATGACTAACAGAAGCACGGAGACGACAACGACACCATCACCACCGCCGCCATCCACCGTGACCACCAACAACAGAAAACATCGACAACAACGGCAGCTGCTACTTCTGCTGCTAACTCTACCTTCAATACAAATGAGTGGTATCACCATTACGGCTGGCACTGTATTGAAGACGACTACCACATCAACAGCTACTACTACTACTACTACTACTACTACTACTACTACTACGACTACGACTACGACTACGACTACGACTACGACTACGACTACGACTACGACTACGACTACTACGACTACTACTACTACTACTACTACTACTACTACTACTACTACTACTACTACTACTACTACTACTACCCCTACCCCTACTACGTACTACTCATTACTTCAGCTACGACTAGTACTTCTACTACTACGACGCCGTCGACTGCTTCTGCCACTGTCATTGTGACTGCCGCTGCCACTTCCACTGCCGGTGCTGAAGCTGAAGCTGCTACTAGCAAAACCACCAGTGCTGCTGCTATTCTGACTGCAAATGGCGATACTACTGCTGATTTTGCTATGACAACTACAGCTAGACTCTAATTAGAGCAACAGCCACCGCCACCACCGCAACCACCAGCACCACCGGCACTACCAGCACCAGAGCCACTACGACAACCACTGCACCTGCAAGTACAACAACAACCGCTACTGCTACGCCGAGTGCTGCTACAATGCAGTGCTCCTGGCCCTTGTTCAATGAAGGTCAGGGCTTGATTGCCCTGGCCTTTGCCGACCATCGTTAGTCTCGCTACCCAGGCAATGAGAAAGCAACCTTCCAAGCTTTGGTGACAGCCTCTCGCCGTTCAGTTCTAGAGCTCGGTGACATTCATGTTCCACTCGCCCATGAACTCCTGAACAGGTTGTAGTTATAAGTGGGGTTATAAGTGCCTTATTATGGGTTATAGGTATAGTTACCCTACTTGGAACCCTACTTATATCTACCCATTGAAATGTGGTCGGGCCCATCGTTCGGATGCTGCCGTCTATGCAATGCCGCTTTCAGCAGCTAAGGGTCCATGTGCCCATACTTTTAGGGCCTTAACGATTACCTGATTACCTGTACTATTTTGGGGGTTCCTTATTATCATTATATTTCATCGGGCATGCTAAGTATAAAGGCCCCTATACTACCCATAGGGTCGTGTACTGTGCGACTTCACCGTCGCGCCCGAAACGCAGATCGGCTCGGTGCCCCCTATTCACTAGGCCCCCACTATCCATAAAAATGTGTCGAGTAGGGTTCCTTGTGCTGTTTCTAGTCCAGGCTTGGTGTGTTCTCACAAGAGTCTAGGATATACGAATCCTTGAAGCTTAAGACCTGGGCCCATACCTGACAATGCACACGTATGAGCCCTGAAACCCAAACGAATCCCTAAAACTATGAACACTAAAGTGGGGGGTTGGTTCCAAAAGCCTGCAATGCAATGCAGCGCAGCGTCAACCCAAGTGGCCAAACGGTAGACATACCGCACTGTGCTTGTGTAGAGACCAGGAGTATTTTTGAGGTTGTTGTTGTTGTTGCTGTTGCTTTCGTGTTGCTGTTGTTGTGCTTGTGATTGCTCTCCTTTGTAGCTGCGAAGGTGTACCGAAAGTATCATCTGGAGGACTACTTCCAGGGCGACAACACGCAGGCACCTTGCCCACCAAGCGCGACGTAGTTTAGGAGTTCCGGCGGCGACTAGCGTTGATCCCAACGGGTTCATGGATCACACCCGGGCTTCGGTACCAAAACAAAACCCTACAGACCCCTGGGCTCCAAAAAGCCCAAAGTAGGTAGTATGAAATAGACTTTAGACCCCAAAGTCGGTCCTATTTGTATACTTGGAGCCCTAGGGATGGACCCCGAACCACTCGTTGCCAGGAAGCGCTGGGGCAGGATGCCGCCAAGATCTGGGATGCAGCACGCGTGAACTTCCCCGATTTGGCCTATGCGCCTCTCGATCGTCAGAGGTGCAAATTGCCATGACTAACTATATTAGAACATATAGTATTACGTAAGAAACAGTGATATTACGAATGCGGGCACCGCTGCCACAGGTTGGTGACAAAAAAACAGCAATAGTGCATAAAAGACAAGAGCAACGAGAAGAAGGAACACACATTAGTATAAGGGTCGGAGTACTGACCAATAGTATTCCTTCGGTGTTCCATGTTACAATAAGAGTATAATGCACAACCCCAAAACCCTATTCAAAATTTGTAAGCCTCTTGTATTTCATTAGCTTGCAGTTCCGACTCGGATTTCTCGGCCTCGGGCGGTAGCGTTCATGTCCAGTGGCTCGCCAACAGAAATTCCGGAGTGGGCGCTGCCGATTTGATTGGTGGATTCTACATATGGGAGTTTCCGAAATTAGGGGTACCTTATTTGGGGGTCCTTATAATAAGGATCCTTTCATTTAGGGTGCTATATTAGGGTCCCCTGTTTTCGGAAACTCCCAAATATGAACCCCAAACAGGAACTACTACGGAGCTTCTGGGCAGGTCGCATTCACCTGCTGCATGCACGTATTTTACCTGTAGGGGATTGCGCGGCCTCGCAGCACAGCAAGAACTGTCATTTCACCATGGGGTCCGCCTTGGGAAACTATACAGCTTCCATTTGGGGGCCGTTATACTATAATTATAATGAGGAAGCCCCCCAAACTAGTATAGGAAATTAGTAAGGCCCCTATATCATACAGCTTCCGGTTTCTTTGGATGAGAGGCCTAAGAGGCTTGGACTGAGCGTCTGAGCATCAATACTTGGAGGTTCATGGCTAGTTATAAGTAGGGTTATATGTAGGGTAACTATACTTATAGCCCATATTCGGGGACTTATAAAGCCACTTAAAAACTACCCATGAACCTCCAAGTAGACTTTGTAAGCATTCAGAGCTTCTCTCCCTGGTGCTGAGGAATGGGTATTGAGACTATATTGGGAAGTATATAGCGACTACTCTAGGGATCCATTCCCTCATTCCCTACTAACCACCAGGGAGGTCAACCAAATCCCAGGTCAACACTTGGAATCTTGAACGGGCAACATACAGCTCTAGATGCCGCAATCGCACTTGCTGCAGCACTATGGGAACAGATTTTGGCATCTGTAGTAGCGCAGACGGCGTTTGTGAATACAACTTGTGTGGCTTCCTTTGCTCCTCCCTACTATTGGTACATAAGCTATTGCCACAAGGCTCGGAGACTTGCACAGCCATCCCTCCTTGATTTAGATTTTGTTTCGGACCCCAAAATCTTCGATTGTTTCCTTCCGCAGCTCAAGTCCAGAGCAGTTGACCACTTCAGATTGCATTGAGCCTTATAATTTAGCCTTGAAACTCATGCGAACTCTTAGCCATTGAATTCGCCACGTGAGAACGGACAAACCCTGATCCTTACGCCTTGAACTCTGAACCCCAAGACCCATACCGTTCAGGTTCAGCCGCTTTAACCAAACGGATCTTTTTGAGTCGACTGTGGATGCGCTCCTGTCGACGCTGCCCCTTGGTGGGCTCTTTATGCCGTCGGGCTTCGCTCCCGCGTTTCTTGTTTTCGGGTTTGGTTAAGAGCAAGTGTACCGATGCATGCACATAAGATGTGTATTTACTTTGTGTATAAGCAATGCACCCGTTTATGCATGCGCACATGTGGAATCAAGTGGCAGCTTGTAGACAGACGAAGCAACTACACAGATGCCGGCAAATCAATACTAGATCATGAACCTGTGTATGTGTTGGTGTGTGTGTGTGTGTGTTTGTGCTGATGTATGTACAAGTGAAACGAATAAAAGTACGCGGGGTATGCATGTACGTCGGTATGTATGTGTGCATGTGCAAGCGTAGGTCCAGTACATGCATACGTAGGTATGTATGAACGCATGGAAGGCGGATGGATGTTCCAGCTGTATGTATACTCTATGCATGCAGGCATGCATAGCATGTAGGTATGTATGTATGTCTGTACAGGTAGGTCTTAATGCATGCATGTGCGCTTGCACGCATGCATATGCTCAGATATGTGTGCATGCATGTCTGTACAGATGGATGGATTGGCTGGCTGCCTGCGTGACTGACCGTTTGCGCAGGTTTGCGGAGGGTGGGTGGGTCGGTGGCTGAGTGGGTGGGACCAAAAGATATTTTTATTAAGTATACATAAATAGGGTGGCTGGGTGGCTGACTGGCAGGACGGACGGATGGATGGATTTATGGATGGATGGATGGATGGATGGATGGATGGGCGGATGGTTGCAGTCAGCTAGCAGAGGGGACCCCACTGTGCACCAGACGAATCTGCAGATTATGTTATGCTGCTTTGCTCTTTAAGCTCTAAACTAACTAAACTGACCTGTCCCTTAAATCTGAATCCAGGCTGACGCAGACCTACCGTCCGGCCATGCAGGCATTCGAGCATCTGGGCCAAGAGGGTAGGTCCTCTCTTGTTCAAGGCACGTGTTTGCCAAGGATTCTGTGTTGAGTTCCAGGGGTAACGCGAAGCTCCGGCAAGCTCGAAACCTGGAGGACTCAAGACGGCCTTGAGTTTCAACCTCCGCAGACTCGACGCCTGACCTGTAACAGCCCGAAATTGGTTGCGTAAATCGATGCCCTGGACCCTGAAGTATAGATTGTTCAGGGTGCCAAACGTTAGAACCCTCATAGATCCCTTTAATGTAGAACCCTTATGGATCCCTTTAAAGGCTCCATATAGAACCCGTATAGACCCCTTTGCTGAAGCTTGAAGCCGCGAGGACCAAGGTTCTGTGGGCCTACCCAGTCAGCACAGGCTGCCTGGACACAAACACCCAACACACCAACACAGCCATGTTTGCTGTTTGGGAAGATTGGGGGAAAGGCCTGCCCTTCGTAGGGTGATTGCAAGCCTCTCAAAGCAGTTTTCCGTTTGTAGTGCTGGCAAGGTATCACGTTCGGCTGTTGCACTTCTTCCTGTGCCTTGGCCTGCCGAACGACATACTCCATGCCAGCTTGGTCAGAAGGTTAAGAAAGAGACTTAGATGGCCAAAGATCGATGTCATGAAGGGTATCAAATCAGAGATTTTCTTGCGGCTTCCGACCTCCGCCCCCAAGAAGCCCAGCAAACCCTGCACCCCGAAGCTCGGTAGGAGGGAAAGCTTGAAAGCCTCAGAGCCTTTCAACCCTCCAGCTCGAAATCCTCAGAGCCCCCTAGAACTTTTAAAGCCCAACTTGGGCTGAGCCGGCTAGACTACTAGTGCAGACTCAAAAAGGCCCTCTCAAAAAAGAACCTTAAACACTAAGCCTTGCACCCTAAACCCAAACTTAAACCCTAAACCCTACAACAAGCCCTAACCCTCAGCCCCTCAGACCCCCCCCCCCCCCCCCAAAAAAAAACAAAGCCCCGCAGGCTGGCAGTTTTTATTCTAGTTCTGCAACAGTACAAAGCAAGAAGAATAAGCATAACGCGAATAACATTACTCGTATTATTCGTACTATCCTTACTAGTACTATTGGTATGCGTATTGTAATTCTTACTATTGTTGCTGTTATTTGTTCTTGTTCTTACTGTTAATAGTATGACTATCATGATAAGTGTGAGTTCATTTATGCCTGTACCTCTCTAAGCCTAATGTAAGAACCTGGTTTAGAAACCCTGGGCCTATAACCCCCAAATAGTAGGATTCCTTTAAGGAACCGTAATTAAGGCCCAAGGTTTCTTAATGGGAGGAGGACGCTGTGGGAACCTACTTTTTCAGGCTGCGTGCTGAACAACCAAGACAACGAAAGACGGAGCACCACAATTACGCTGTGGGAAGCTATCGTGTTGAAGGTTCGTATTTGCAAAGAAAAGATTTTTCAGCCAAAATCAGAAGGATCCATGATACCACCATGCCACCCGTATACCTTATATAGCCCTATAGACTACCCTGTAGATCAGGAATTGTATATGCACAATCACACATTTCTCCAATCGAACTGTAGTTTATTGAGTAAAGGATTTCTATGAAAGAAATCAGGAACCTGGAAGAATAGCCTATAGAATACCTGAAAGGCTACACCCTCTTTATACCTGAAAGAATTTCAACACATCCTACAGAATATCCATTATATACCTTGCATATATCTTAATGAACACCCTGTAGCTTATAGAACTCCTTATAGGATTCCCTCTACGATACCACCTAAATTGAATCATATATACCATTGGACCATTCAGAACACCCTTTACATACCCTATAGAATGCCCTCTACAATGCCCGATACAATACCTTATATTATACCTAATAGAATACCTTATAGAATACTTTGCATAGTACACACAATGTACCCGATATGTATGTGTATATACATATAAACATATATATATACACACCTTACAAAGACATCTGGAATAGCCTGCAGAATACCTCATGGAATATCATCTACATGCAAGATACCCCCTGTATATCTTTCATAAACCCTGTAGAATACCGTATCGAAAACCTATGAGGATTTATATATTGACAACCAGGAGGAGCATAAGATCTCGCCCTCACCATCTACACTGTAGCTTATTGAGCAGAGGTTTTCTGTAGGAAAAAAGGAACTCAGGCGAATACCCTATAGAATGCTTTACAGAATACACCCTTATATGCCTTAATGATTTTCATAAAGAATATCCTGCAGAATACGCTGTAGAATCCTCCCTAGATACCTCATACACACACACACACATATATATATATATATATATATACATATATATATATAAACGCACACTTGATTGAATATGCTACCCGCTATCGCCTAAGAATACCTATCATACCCGTATGTATATACATATCATAGCCTAAAGAATACCTAAAGAATACAATCCTAAGAAAATCCCTATAGAGTACCCGATAGAACGCTCACAGAACACTCTATAGAATGCAAAACGCATACCCCATACCTATATATATATATATATATATATATATATATATAATGCCATGATATGATATTATTACCCTATCCGATACCCTTTCGAGTACCCTATGGGATACCTATAGAACGCCGTAAGGATAGAGCAGTCAAATAGTGAAAATTCAAAGGAGTCCAAGAGCTGAGAATTCCCCTAGTTGAACTGGAGCTTATTATTGGAGCTGATAATTGAGTAAGGGCTTTCTATGAAGGAAACCAGGAACCTGGAGGAATAGCATCATAATCATAAAGTACCATATAGAACACACCCTTTCTTTACAGACCCTAGAGAATTTCATATAGAATACACTGCAAAATACCTCATAAAAGACCCCACCATATACCTCAGACATACCTTATTGAATACCCAATGGCGCCTGTAGAGTACCTTATAAAATACGTTCTAGAATACCACCTACATGGAATACCGTGTAGAATACCTTGTTTCGTTGCACCCTACAAACCCCCAATGTACCTTTCCGAATACCATCTGCAATACCCTACAGAATGCAGCTGGGGTCTATTGAGGTTCAATAGCCGATATTTAACCTCAATAGCCCCCCCTCGGAATCCAAGATCCAAGATGTCCCCAGAAAGTTGTTCAGCCAATCTTGGATTCCGGGGGGAGGGCTATTGAGGTTACATATCGGCTATTGAACCTCAATAAACCCTAACCATGGAATCCAAGATTCCCCGAAAAACTTTCTAGGGGCATCTTGGATCTTGGATTCCGGGGGGGGGGTGCTATTGAGGTTAAATATCGGCGATTGAACCTCAATAGCCCCCCCCCCCCCCGGGAATCCAAGATCCAAGATGCCCCCAGAAAGTTTCTTGGATTCCAGTTCTATTGCCCGCTTCAACCTGGCTTGATTCAGGGCATTGTTGGAGCCGTGAATCAAGCCAGCTTTTGGAAGAGAACGTGTAGGAACCTATCCAAAAAATGTTCCCACAGCGTCCTCTTCTGTTCTTATTAATCAGGTTCCTACATTACCCGAGGCTGCCAGCAGGTGAGTACGACCCCGAAGACCCCCGAGCCCAGCTGCGAAGACGCTGGGCAGAAAAAGCACCCGCGTTGCCTAAACAGTGGCCATAATAATTAAAAGAGGGTTCCTCTTCGGAATAGGGCCGTCAAACAACAAAAAAGAATATGGTTCCTTTAGAAGGGGTCTATGAAAGCTACTGTAAGGGATCTATATCGGTATTGTAAAATCGTGGCCAGAATAATTAGAATGCTGTTTTTTTGGGGGGCTCCTCATCATAATTGTAATTTAACATCTGCCCCAACACCCTATTCTAATTATTAAGGCCCATTTTTGCAGGATTTCAGGGGTGTACAGCAGTGTTTAGAAGTTTAGGTCCGTAGTTTGGGGTGTCTTTGGTCCATCATAACTATACTCGCGTATCCCCTCACGCATGTTCTAAACATGAAAGCATTCAGGCCCCTTATTGTGAATGCGAATGTAGGTTTTTGATACCTCAAGGTCGGCTGGGGACTGGGTGGTTGAGGCTTAGCAAACCCGAATCGGGGCCCGCACACTTAGAGTAGGGCTTTTTGGAGGTATATTCCGGTGTTAAATATTATATACAAGCCGTCTTCGCAACACATGGTATATCTACGCCTCCATGATGCCGGAGCCCTGAACACAAGACGTCCAAGGACGACGGGTTTAGGTTGGAAGCACTTATTATGAAAGCATTCCCCTGTCACAGCCGGAGGGGCTGATATAGGCATCTAGGTTCTCCAGTAGTACCCTTTTGCCCCTTGAGTCTGTTTGGCTTCCAGTACTAAAACTCTTCGGAGTAGGAAAAAGCATACGCTTTGTGGAACCTATAGGCCCTAGGCATTCAGGTCTCAGCATACACAAGACATGGCAAGGCTGACATTCCTCGTCTAAGGGTGCGCATCTTAGAAGTCAGGATTTCGCGGCTAGCCGTTGCCAACACCGTCTTCTTTTCAACAGCGGGTACCAGACCTTCAGCTTCCAAAGCGCAACTTCCCAGCGGAGAAGTATTGTCTCAGAGTTTTGGGCAAAAAAAGTGGCTTCAATACATAGCATCGGTTCCCTCACAGCCTTTCTACCTCTCAACAGCATTGCGTAAAGATGACTCAAGGACTGGTGCTGCACATCATGGCGCGGTACTCGACTGCCTTCTTGTTGCCTGGATGCCCTGGAGACTTGAAACTTCAAACAGGAGTCTGAATCCTGAGGATCTTAGGATTTAGGGTTTAGGGTACTATGGTATCAATAGTAGCATGCGTCACGGACTGTACGAGTCTATAGTACGTTGTGTTTTATGTTTATGATGTTGCTATTGCACCCTCTCCTTCCTGCAGGGTTCGCTGCCAACTTAGAAGAGCTCCGCTGCTTAGTGTCCGGCCGTCATCTGCTTCAGGGATGTAGGATTTGCTCGTTAGATACTGTAACGTACTGGCAATAAAGATAGTGACAGTAATGCTAATCAACCACCATTCTAACATTAGATACGACAAAGCATAACGATTATTCTCTCTATACATGTATATACCAATAACATTACTCATACTAACAATAACAGTAACACTCATGAAGCTTGATGATACTATAGTCGCGGATTCGGTTTCGGTTTGGTGCCCCCGTGCACTTCTATACGCCGTTAGAGCATAGCTCAGAAGACAGCACGAAGTGCTGCATCTGGTTAGATCATAAGTGAAACCCTTCACCCCAAACTAGACCCTGAACCCTAAACCAGAGAAGCGGGTGCCGGGGATTGGGGGTGAAGAGTAAACCCTCCATTGACGACAAGTCCAACGGGTGGAAGCCGCGAGCGCCCAAGCAATAAGCTTTGGCTCTAATCATCATAAGCTGTTTGTAGATAGCACTGTCTACAATCATGTTGTATCGTCGAACCGATAATGTTATGATAACAAGAGATGATACGTGATACAACGGAGCCAATAGCAACATAGGAACATACCCCCGTATTCACAGAGCCACACACACACTCTCACACACACCATACTTGGACATGTACATCCCACATGCAAGGGGTGTAAAGCCCAAGGTCTGTGCCTCTAGCGTGCCTTGTGGTTTCAGAGCTAGCAATGTGGACTATTTGGGATGCGGCTTAAAAGGTGAGACTGCGCCAATAGTCTCCAAGCCTGAAGCCCCTCCCGAAGTATTTCCAGGCAGTGCGGCAGTACCTTGGCACACTGGTCTCTGGTCTCTCCGGGCTGTTGTAGGCTGCTCTTGAGCATTGGGCTTGAGGGTCCGAGCTTTTGGTTCATCCTGCCTGGTGAATCTGGCGTGGGTAACGTAGACGGTTTAGCGCTTGCAGGGAAGAGTGATCAGTCCACTCACCAAAGAGCTTCATCGTAATCCTTGAGAGCCATAACATGGAAGCTTTGCAGCAGTAGCCTTCTCGGCAAGACGGCTCCAGACAAGTTTTGGCAGGCATACTGGGCACACTACTAGTGGAGCTATCACGGACCACTTACAAGTAGTAGTCACGTTTGTGCGGCCATCTTCGGCAAAGCTATCATGTCAACGACGCTCTTCAGAGTTACTCGTGACAGAGTCAGGTCTTGGTGCTGCGTTGGTGAGTGGTACGTAGTTTATATGACTCATAACATTCCTAGGTCCACGAGGTGCAGCAAACGCAATCGCAAGACTGAGGCGAGCTTCAACTGAGAGCTATGTCAAAGGATCTCCAACAATTCGCACCTCAGGCTGCACTTGTCAGCTGCCATTCAAAGTTGACAGTTTCCAGTGTTCCAGGTTTTGGGGGGGTCTTCGGACGTAACCCCTTCCTGGTTTCGTCTAGCTCGGGGTTGCAGTTCATGGAAGATTGCAGAGGCTCTTCCGGTCTCGGGCGGGTTTAGTAACTTTAGTACATCGACCGAAGCCAACCTCCTCACTTCAGTAATAAGCACACTTATGATTAGACACCCTACAAGGGGTCCTCATTGAGGTTACGATACTTGTGAGCCTGTAAAATAACTACTGTGGCATCTGAACCCCTACAAGCCCTGAGCCCGTTGGAACTTGAAAACGAGCTGCCCCCTACGGTAACCCTCATAGTAACCGGCATAGAACCCGTAACGGATAGTAGAACAGCCAAAAAAGCCTATACTACAGAGATACGATGTAGCACTCATATCACCACTGAACTTAGTGGCTGAGTCGGTAACTTTCAACCTTTGGGGTCTTTGTAATCCCATCATACTTGAAAAGGTTAACCTTTCTTGGGCCAGGGTGCGCAGCCCCTAAATTAAACGCATCCAACCCTAAACCCTAATCCAAGTACTGGAACTCGGGTTTAAAGGAGTCGATCCTGAAGGACTTAGGGGACCCGTGCAGCAGCCTTCCTCAGTACTTGGAGGTTCATGGGTAGTTAGGGCAACTATGCTTATAAGCCATATTAGGGGACTTTAACCTTATGACTACCCATGAACCTCCAAGTAGCATCGTATGGCATCAGGCTTGCAGGTGGGAGCAGTCGTCCATCTATATTTTCAGAATGCTATTAATTGCGATGGCTGGCTGCAAAGTTGAGATTGTTATTTCGGTTGTATTCCGGCGGGATGCAAAAATAGCCCCCGGAGAGGAGACAGGATCGCACAAGTTGCCTCTAATTACTACTGCAGATGAGCCCGGCACTCCCATGCAAAAAGACGCGGATAGCAACACTTATAGTAGCTCTTTACCCGAAACCTTAAAACTGTAGTAACCCGTAACCCTTTATACCTAGACCCCCCAACTACCTTGAACACATCCCCCAAACACCCGCTATGAAGGGCCAAACGGACACATAAAAGGGCGCCTTGGGGGTCCTGGTAGAGCCCCCTAAACCCTAAACCCCCTACTAAACCCCCTAAACCCCCTAAATCCCCTAAACCCTAAACCCCTAGGTACCCCTTTAGACTCAGGTACTTGTGGACGATGTGTTGCTTGAGATGCTGAACCGCAGATCTCCTCAGTCTGGAGGTTTTTTTCTGAACTTACCCTTGGTTAGTAGGGAATGGTTACTATAAGGGATCTATAGGGTACTATAATATAGGGGCCTCAATCATCCTATAACTTACCGTTGGTTAGTAGGCAATGGAAGAATGGTAGTAGTAGTAGTAGTAGTAGTAGTAGTAGTAGCAGTAGTAGTAGCAGTAGTAGTAGTAGCACTAGTAGCTAGTAGTAGTTGTAGTAGTAGTAGTAGTAGTAGTAGTAGTAGTAGTAGTAGTAGTAGTAGTAGTAGTAGTAGTAGTAGTAGTAGTAGTAGTAGTAGTAAGTAGTAGTAGTAGTAGTAGTAGTAGTAGTAGTAGTAGTAGTAGTAGTAGTAGTAGTAGTAGTAGTAGTAGTAGTAGTAGTAGTAGTAGTAGTAGTAGTAGTAGTAGTAGTAGTAGTAGTAGTAGTAGTAGTAGTAGTAGTAGTAGTAGTAGTAGTAGTAGTAGTAGTAGTAGTAGTAGTAGTAGTAGTAGTAGTAGTAGTAGTAGTAGTAGTAGTAGTAGTAGTAGTAGTAGTAGTAGTAGTAGTAGTAGTAGTAGTAGTAGTAGTAGTGGTAGTAGGTAGTAGGTAGTAGGTAGTAGGTAGTAGGTAGTAGGTAGTAGGTAGTAGGTAGTAGGTAGTAGGTATAGTAGTAGTAGTAGTAGTAGTAGTAGTAGTAGTAGTAGTAGTAGTAGTAGTAGTAGTAGTAGTAGTAGTAGTAGTAAGCGTAGTAGTAGTAGTAGTAGTAGTAGTAGTAGCAGTAGTAGTAGCAGTAGTGTAGTAGTAGTAGTAGTAGTAGTAGTAGTAGTAGTAGTAGTAGTAGTAGTAGTAGTAGTAGTAGTAGTAGTAGTAGTAGTAGTAGTAGTAGTGGTTATAATGGTACCCCACTCCTCCATTCCCTGCTCACCAAAGGTAAGTTAAAAGGCCACCTCCGGGTTTTTAAGTTTGGGGTGCAGGGTTGAGGGTTTGTTGTTTTCAGTTTAGGGTTTAGGGTTTTTAATTTGGGGTTTTGGGTCTTTAAGTTTGGGGTGCAGGGTTGAGTTTTTTTTTTGTTTTGGGTTTAGGGTTTGATGCAAGGTTCTGGCTTGCCCCCAAGCCCAGTTGCAAAAAGAGGGTTGTTCATTTAGGGTTTTGGGTTTAGGCTCTCTTAGGTTTCTTATATATACAGGGTCAACACGCGTTGATATTAGTAGGTTTCTACAGAGTTTGTTGAAAGGTGTCCTTTTGGGATTGCATACGGATTTGCAGGGGCTGTTTGGGGTTTCGGACTTGAGAATTGAGGGGCCTGATGGGGTTTGTGCAAGGGTTCCCAAAGGGTTGTATATGGTTTTTGAAGGGCTGCTAAATAACAGGATTACAATACGGGTTCTATGATATCGGGGCCTCCGCAATTAAAACAGGATGTCCGGGTAGTTTACTACGAGTATAGCAAGGCCTGAAGGCACTGTTGGCGAATGTTATTTGCATTCATTTGTATTAATTCCGATCAGGGTTTCGTAGCTCTTAATTAATTTAAGTAGACGAACCCTTCCATAGTAGCCACAAGATCTGGGACTGCTGCATGCGTCCAGACATGTACTCTCTGAACTTTGTAAGTGAGGATGGCTTGGCCGCCCCAAGAGTACCGTACGTGATTCCTCCTCGAAATACCTGCAGGGCTCAAGTGTCTGGCGTTTGAATGTGGCAAACACCACATACCATGTAACCTCACTCCGAAAACCTAGACGTGATGTGGACGTCGCAACTCGCGTGGATTAGAAACCCTTAAAGTCCTAAAGCCTGACCTCGAATGCTGAAGATCTGCAGAAGTGTAAGCAGGAACTTCTGAGCTTCCGAGCTTCGGTCGCAGAGGTTCCTGTAATTCTTTCTGGGTGTAGGGATGCCTGATGAATAGTTTGGGTGGGGCATTATTTAAAACATTAAGTACCTCAGCCGACCCTGTGTCACTAATCCCGATCCCTTCCTAAATCGCGCAATCCACACATAATCCTGACAGCCCAAGCCCTTCCTAATGCAACCGGTCTACCCTTTTTTTTGGGCGGCCCTATGCAACTCGCTCAGCAACGACTCCGCAGGAACTCAGGTCTGTGAGAGTACTACATAGGAGTGTGCTTCTAGGAGTGTCTTGCACGTTGGCAACCTCACTAGCGTACTCCAAAAGTGGCGGTCTACAGCTGTTCTGTGAGCTTGTAGATATGAGTACGGGAAGGTAGGGCTGTGAGTGGCTGGAGGTCTTGAGGACTTTAAAAGCCAGTGCCAAAGTAGCTTGGTGCACTGTTCTGTCCAGTGGACCCTTCGCCTACCTGGCCTAAGGCCTGCTCCTACCGTTCCCCCTCTGTACTGAAAAGACCTAGTAAAACAGCAGTTCCGTTCTATACTGTTCGGATGGGATCTCAGAATGTGCCCAAAAAGCTTCAGCTGTGCTTTGTGGATGTGGTGTGTGAGGGGTGGCTGTGAGGTGAGAGCTCTCACTTCTTGGTTGGTGTAAGTGCGAGCTGTGGGGTTGAGCACCTCGGTGTAGTAGGTGCTTTTGAAGTGTAAAATTTTGCGAAGTGATTGTGAGTGGAAGGCTTCTAGCCTGTGAAAGTCTCCGGCTGTGAGCGCTGCAGACTCTAGCCCATAGGTCACCAGGGGAATGAAGACCGCATTGTATATGCGGAGTTTCCACTTTAGTGTGAGATCAGTATTGCGCCAAAATTGGTGCAGTGAGTGGAAATGCTTCCGGGCTTTTGCGAGCCGTGTGGTGACGTCCTTGTGTGAGGAGCCGTTGCTGCTGAGCATGACTCCAAGGTATTTGGCGTGTTGTTCCATGTTGAGTGGGGTGCCGTCTGTGAAGGTGATGGTGTTCTGTGAGGTGGGGGAGCGTAATAAAACGCACTTTTTGAGGTTGAGGTGGAGGTTGCTGTGAGAGGCAACTCGCTGCAGCGTATGAAGGAGCTGTTGCGCCCTATTCGCCGTTCCCGCCATCAGTGCTGTGTCGTCGGCGTACGCTAGGTCGTAGAAGGGCTGGTTTTGGCTGTAGAGCCAGGGGAGGAATTCCCCGTTGGCTGTGAGCTCTTGGTCCACGTCGTGCATCACCATGCCATGCACAATTAGGAAGAGGTAGGGGGACAAAGGGCATCCTTGCCGAATGCCTGAGCTCGCCTCTTCTTCAGTGCTGTGTTTGCCTGCTGCTGCGACGCTGAGCTGTGGGGAAGTGTAGATTTAGATGTTCTTGATAAGTGCTGTGAAATGCTGTGGGACGCCGTAGCGCTGCATCGCTGTGAGGAGGGCGTCTGGGTGGATCTTATCGAAAGCCTTCTCCCAGTCGAGAAGGATGGTGTAAAGGGATTGCCCAGTGGCTTCTGCTCTTTCGATAAGTCTGCGGATGATGTGGATAGGCTGTGAGGTAGAGCGTGTTGCTCTAAACCCGAATTGGGTTTCTCTGAGCCTGTCATCCAGTGCTGCTTGCAGTCTGGTGTGAATGATCTTGGCGAAAAGCTTGTATGAGGTGTTGAGGAGTGAAATGGGTCTGTAACTGGCTGGGTCTGTGAGTGGTCCTTTGCCCTTGTAGATTTCGACCACTATTGCTTTGTGCCAGTCTTCGGGGATGGTGGCTGTGAGGAGGGATTGGTTGAGCACTCTGAGTAGCGCTTCTTTGTTGTGCTCGTCCAGCCATTGCCATGCTTCGGCGGGGAGCTGGTCGGGGCCAGGAGCTTTGTTGTGGGCAAGCTCCTTGAGTGCCGTGTTAAGCTCTGCCATGGCTATGGGTGCCAGGTCCACTGTGGCTGGTGGGTGGAAGGGGTCTGTGGGGCCTGTGTAAGGCGTGGGTGGTGGGGCCCAGTGTGAATCTCGCAGGTATTCTGCAAAAGTCTGGGCTTGCTGTGAAAGGCTTGTGGGCTTGCCCTGTGAGTCTCGTATTGAGACCGGCCTGGGCTTGTAGTCCGAACGGATCCTCTTGATCCATCGCCATTTTTGGCGCGGGTCAAGGGTGGCCTCACTTTCGGCCAGGCGTTCTTTAAGCCATTGTGTCTTGTCCCTGCGGGCTTGCTTCCGAATGTCTTTGTGAAGCTGTGACTCCAGGTCTGTGTGCTGTGAGAGTCGCGCCGCAGAGCGTTGCTGTATCAGCTGCCAAGTTGCTTGTGTGATCCAGGGGTGTTTGGGAAAGGATTCCGTGGTGGGGATGTGCTCCGTGATGGCTTCCGTCGCTGCTTTGCTGAGGGTAGACCAAAGTTGGTGTGGCTGTGCTGGTAAAGGGAGCTGTGTGGGTGGCTGTGAGTAGGCGTCGTTGTCTGTGAGGGTAGGGAGCAGCTGCTGGATGTGTTGGTTGTACTGTTGCTTTTGCTCTGTGGTTGGAGTTCTGGTGTGCCTTGGCTTTGGTGGTGTGCGCTTGGTCTCCTTGGTGCGGAGCTGCAGCTCTACCTTGACCAAATAGTGGTTGCTATTGAGGGCAGCGCCGGGTAGGGAGTGGATGTTGTGGATAATGTTGCGCCATTCTTTGTGTATAATGGCGTGGTCCAGTTGGACCAGATCCCCGTTGGGTCTCTTGTGGGTGTGTCTGTTCTGTGGTGCTTTCTCCAACCAGGTCTGTGGGAGGCAGTAGTCCTGTGAGGCCAGAAGGTCGTGGAACTGGCGTTGGTTGGTGTCGCCTTCCTCTTCGTCTGCCGGCTCGTCTTCTTCGGCGGTCTTGCCGGGTACGAAGTGGGGGCCGGTGGCCTGGGGAAGGGCCGCGATTTCATCCAGAGCTAGGGCGTTGAAGTCGCCAACCACCAGCAACGGAAATCTTTCCCTGTGAGAAGAGATCCTGTCGTTGAGTGCTTGCCAGAACTGGTCTCTGCACTGCTGCTCCCTTTGGTTGTGAGGGGCATACACTGCCAGAATGGTGAGTGGTGCTTCCACCGTGTCGATGGTGAAGGTGAGAAATCTGCCATCGATGCAAGTGAGGCCGGTGATGGTGGGTGTGAGCTGTGGTGCCGTGATCAGCGAAACCCCTGTGAAAGTCTGCGTGGGGTTGCCTTTGGTGTCGTATTCCTCCGTGGCGCTGTGGGTGATGGTGTATCCGTCGATCATAAACTGATCGGGCTGCTTCATGTGGGTCTCTGTGAGCACCAGCCAGCTGAAACGATGCTTTCGCATGATATCGATCAGCGTGTGTAGTTTGGCTGCTTCAAGAAGGCCTGTGGTGTTCCAGAAGGCTCCTCGGAGAATCTGCTGGGGGGTGGTTTGGAGGTCGTGCTTTGTTCTGCCCTTTTTGCTGGGCTGTGCAATGTGGGTTTTGAACCAGTGAGCTCTGGTGTGTTGTCGGTGGCGAGTGTCGTGTCTGCTTTGCCACTGTTTACGGCTGTGAGGGGCTGGGCTATGGTCTGTGCGAAGGTGGTTGGGTGTGCTGCTGTTTTGTGGGGGCTTCTTCTTCAGATTGAAGATGGTCTGCAGAAATTGCCGGAATCTGTGGCATCTGTAATGCTTGTGCTGGCTGTGGGCTGTGTTGCTGCTGGGGGTCTTCGGTTGCCGGTTCTGGCTGCTGCTGTGGCTGCTGTTTGTTTCCAGCTGCAGCCGCCGGTGTGAGAGAGATCTGCTCGTGAGGTCGTATAAAGGCTTTTGGTGGGGCTGAGTCAGGGAGCCCTTACCCTGGATCAGCTCTGTGGTGTTGGTGTGTGTGAGTGCTGCACGCCAGCTTCGGTAATGTCGCCGATGTGCTGCTCTGTTGTTGATACGTTGCTGTGCTCGGCGTTGTCTGGCATCCTTGCTGCGGAGCCATCGCCTGTACTGTGAGCGTGTCTTCTGTTGCTGTGGCTTGTGTGGATTGGTTGGTGTGTGGGAGTTGGTGGGTGAAAGTTGAACTTGCACTTCGTCGCCGAAAGGCACAGTCCTCGATCCCGAAAAATCCGAACCTATTACGGAACTGTGAGAGAAAACAAAGGAAAAGGGATGGAGATGGCTCAGCGCACCCGGCTCGCCTATGGGAGGCGTGCTTGCATGCATCAAACTAATTCGCTCCCTTTCTTCCTCCTATGCGGTCGCAGTGTCTTTCTCTGTGAGAGGTCCACTGAAAAAGCACTCTGTGCTGGAAGATCGGGCTCCTGTGCGCCTGCCAACTTTTCAAGCCGAAAGCCTTGGGCGAGGGCGGCCTGTGAGGACATCTGAGGCCGCTGCAGCACCCAAGTGTCGCAACTTCTTGCCCTTGACCCAATCCACCCACTGCTCTGTGGAGTACTTCGAGATATCGTAGCCCTGGTTGATCTGGCTGATCTTCTCATTCTCCACTTCACTGTCCAACTCTTCCTGTGAGTCGAACGGGTAGTAGGGCTCCTTGGTGGTGTCCGGCTCCCCACTCGGCTCCATGCTGTCGAAGGTGCCTTCCGTTCCTGAGGAGTGCTGCCTCTTTTGGCCCTGTGAGAGGCCCTGTGAGGCAAAAGCCACCAAAGATTCGCCGGCTGCAACCTCCGTCTCCATGGCCTTGTCTGCCGCCATCTCCTCCATGAGCTCGTCGACGGGGCGCAGGTCCTGAAAGAACTGGCGGTCTGGGTGGTCCTGTGAGAGGCCAACAAAGGTGAGCTCCCATGGGTACTCAAACTTGAAGCGTGCCACCCAGTTCTCGATGCCCTGCTCCTCGCCCTCCGTGTAGGCCGGCACTGCTTTGGTCAAGAACCTGTTGAGCCGGGCTGCCGCGGAGTACTCCTGTGAGGTTCTTTGGGCCGCTGTGGAGTATGCTTCCTTTTCCACTTCCGTCTGCGAGATCTGCTGCTTGAGCTGATCATACCAAACATCCCTCCAGGCTGTGAGGATGCGGTCTTTGTGCTCGGCCGGGAGCTGGACTTCGCAGGCCCAATCGGCGACCGTGCCCGTCGTGCCTGTGAGGCTGTGAGCTTTGCGGCTGTAAAGGATGCGACCCAACCATGCACCTTCCTTATCCTCCAGGATAAGGGTCTTCCAGCGTGGTGTGAGGGTCTCCTTCTTGAAGCGAGCAAACAGCTTCTGGTAGGCATTCATCAGGCCGTGCATTGGAGCTCCCAACCTTCTTTCGAACTGGGTGATGCCCGGCGCCATCTTGATCGGGAGGTTCCAGTTCCACGTCCTCATCTCCCACTTTTTAGGTGGGGCCTTCTGTGAGGTCTGTGAGTCCTCACCCATCTTCTCATCGTCTTCGGCGGTGGCTGTGGCGGTGGGAGCTGTGGGAGGATCTGTGCTAGCCGACCCGGGTGTTGCCGACTTCTGTGTCTGGCCGGCTTCCTCCTGGGCTGCCGCGGCTGGCTTCTCTTCCTCCTTTATCTCATGCCAATATCTCACCACTGCCCTGGAGCATGCGTCCATGACCTTCTTTCTGGCGGCATAGGTCGGGACTGTGAGGATGGAGATCGGGGCCAGGAATTTCTTGCCGTCGTTGCCCTCCATGGTGGTCGTGGTCAGGTCCCACTCCAAGAAGGCAAGGCCATTTTCCTTGAGAGCCTCCGCCACTGTCGGTCCAGGCTGTGCGGATCTTTAGCATCCGGACCTCGTGATCGAGAGTATTGATCTTCACCGCGTGGTTGACAAGCTCGGCACCGACCTGTGAGAAGGCCGTCTGGAGGGCTGGCCCAACTTTCTGCTGCAGGGCTTCAGTGATCATGGCGGCACACTCTGCCCGTGTGACTGGCTGTGAGGATGCCGTGCCAAGTGGCAGTTGCACCTCCCATTCCTGAGGGCGAGCCACGGGTGCCGCCGTTGACAACACTGAAGGGCCATCTCCTGTGAGCAAAGCATCGTGCTGTGAGATGCGTTGCTGCAGCGAAGCGATCACCTCGGCATTCTTATCGTTGGCTGCGCTTTGCTCTGCTCCTTGAACACGCAGGGCTTCCAGGCCAGCAGCTACTGCGGAGAGCTGCGAGGCCATTGACTCCAACACCTGAGAGGAGGATGCCATGTTGCCTGTGAGAGCAAGGAGAGAGAAAGGGGCTGCGAAAAGCTTGAGCACTCGTGAGCCTACCGGTCTACCCTGAAGAAGCGAAACTACTGTTTCCCACTTTAAAGACATTTCGGGGAGTCTGTGAATGCCTTTTAAGGCTACTGGCTTACCTTAACCCTGAAGAACCTACCTTTTTAGGGTTCCCCAGTATGATTTCCTTATGTAAGTCCTTAAAAAGGTAGGTTCTTCAGGGTTAAGGTAGGGCCTACAGAGCTTGCGGAGCATGAGTTTTCCTTGAATTCCCAACTTAGAGTCCCCAACTCCGTTGCCCAGGCAAACACAAAGTCCCGGAAGTCACAAACGGCCCCCTGTGGCCTTCAGCGTGTCTTGGCGCATTGCCTTGGGAGCTGTCGAAGCCAAGAGCTAAGCATAGGCTTAAAATATAGGGACCTAAAGGGACCTAAATAACTACCAATACTATTGTGGGGGCTCCTCATTATAGTTGTGGTATATTGGTCAGTATATTATATACACCTCCAAACCCTATTCTAATTACTTAGGCCAGATCTGTGTCTGCGTAAGCCGTTCAGTGAACCGTTCAGCTATATGGGTGGTTGTCAAATTACGGTCCCCCTTTTGGGTACCCTAAATAAGAGGTGCCGTAATATACTGAGGATACAAAAAGGGACCATAATTTTGATAACCACCCATATAGTCATATAGTGTCTTAATCCCGTCACACCTTGCACTATGGCAGGTGTGCTGTCCTGTGTTTTTTGCCTGCTGTCACCCGCTTTGCTGAAATTCATGTTTTTCTTACGTACTGCATTTTTAGCACTTGCCTCACTTTCAACCACAACATCATTTTCATGAATGCGCTCACCATGTTATGTTTTGCTGCTGCTGTCAAAAATTATTGCCTTCATGTGAAGATGGCCACTCAGAAAGAAAACAGTACCTAGGCAGATTCGAGCAGACGCAATAGCTACACTACTGTGGGGTCGATGCCTTGAATGCCTACTGACTACTTCTACTTTTTTCTTTTCTCTTACTGCTACCATCTTCGAGCTCCGAGTAGGATTCGGCAGGCATCAATCCCGAGCTTAAGGCCTACGTCATGAACTAGTGAGCCTTCATGCTTTGCCTACTATAGGAGCCTTAATAAGCCTGAATAGATACCTACTATTTGGGTGGTTCCTTATCATTAACATAATATAATGGGCCCCAAAACCCTATTCTAATTATTAAGGCCCCTGTATGATGCGGTCAGTTTGGGGATGAGATGCGGATAGGCCTAACCCCCCCTGCACATGCCCCCCTACCCCCAGAAATCCAAGAGATGACCAAAAAAACGATTGATATGAAGTGAGCTGCAATTGACGGAAATAAACTCAAACAAATTGAGATGGTTACAAATGACATGAAATGAGGTAAACTGAACTGAAATGCAATAAGCTAAGCTGAAATTGATGTGGAATGCATCGAAACATATTGAAACGACTTGCAACAACTCTAACCTGATGAATGAACTGCAAGTATGGATACGTGCAACGTAACATCACGCAGTGCGATGTCGGGTACTGTGCTGTATTCATGCATATGCATGAATGTATGTATCTCTATGTGTCTTTATGGATGCGTGCATCGAGGCATGTACCGCCGTGCACATGCATGCATGGGTGGTTGTCAAAATTAGGATCCCTTTTTGGGTACTCTAAATATTAGGTGCCGTACTATAATAAGGACCCAAAAAGGGTTTCGGAACATTAGGGGTACCTTATTTTGGGTACTTATAATGAGGATCCCACTATTTAGGGTCCTATATTCGGGTCCCCGATTTTTGGAAACTCCCAGATGGATGTCCCTAGATTGTCAAAATTAGGGTCCATTCTTGGGTACCCTAAATATTAGGGTGCCGAACTATAATAAGGACCCAAAAAGATGTCCGTTAAAAATCATAATAATCATAATCATATCAATATTAGTCATAATAATAATGATCATAATAATCATGATCATAATCATAATCATAATACTAATAATCATAATCATAATAATAATCATCATGATAATAACAAGGGCCCAAAAAGGGACCCCGGATGTGTCTCTAGATTTCGAGGCTCATGGCTGGCTTGGGTGCTGTCCTGGCCTACGACATTTCGAGCCCGAAGCTGGGACGCAAAAAGGGTGCGAATGGAGGTTGCGCTAAGGCTCTACTACTTGGAGGGTCGGGGGACTTAGTAATTGGTTATTTTAGGGACTTATAAGTACCATAACCCCAATTGGGGTCCCTTTTAGGGTACTCGAATGGAGGTTGCGCTAAGGGCCTTTAAGGGTTCCTTCAAAGGGTGGTTTAGGAGCTTAGGACTTGGGGTAATGATCTTTTTTACCAAAGGTAAGATCATCAAAAAGGGTTTGTAGGGAATGGAGGGTGGTTGAGTTAGGGCTAAGGATTTAGGGTAATGATCTGCTGGACAACGAGGCCTGCTGCAAAAAGGGTAATGATCTAGGTTGCCCTACTTGGAGGGTCGGGGACTTAGTAAGTGGGTAGAAAGTAGACTTATAAGTACCCTAAAAGGGATCCTGATTGGGGTTATGAATGGAGGTTGCTCTAAGGCTCTACTAAGGCTCTAAGGTAAGGCTCCAAGGGCCTTTAAGGGTTCCCTCAAAGGGTGGTTTAGGATTTAAGATTTAGGGTAATGATCTTAGCCCAAGGAGGTTGCCCTAAGGCTCTAAGGGTTCCTTCAAAGCGTGGTTTGGGGTCTAGGGTTTAGGGCAATGAATGAGATGGTCACCTTTGTGCTGCATGTTTAGGTCTTGCAGTGCTTCCCAGCTGATCGGTAGAGTCTGGGTTCAAAAAAGGGTAATTAATGATCTTACCTTTGGTCAGTAGGGAATGGAAGAATGGTAGCAAACAGTAGTTATAATTGTACGCCATTCCTCCATTCCCTACTAAGGCTAACCCAAGGTAAGCTATGGGTTCCTTCAAAGGGTGGCCGAAGCTTACGATTCCTTTAAGGGTTGCTCGATAGGGTGAGGGTACTCTTGGGTTGCTTGACAGGGTGAGGGTACTCTTCGGATTCCTTCTATGAGAGTTTCAGGGGCGTTAGAGGTTTGGGCCCGGTTTCAGGCGGTTCCGGGGTTTAGGGGTTTAAGGTGAGCGGTTCTGGACCATCGCTAACCTCTTCGTTCGTTTGATCTATAGCCAAATACCATAAATAATGCGCGCTCTTACATGCAGTTGACTTGGACACCTAGAGAGTCTCGAACCGACAGAGAGCGCCTTCGTTACGTGTTGCATCACTGGAGTTGTCAGCAAGGAAGGCCTCTTTTCAAACTTGATCATGTGATGCTTTGTTTAGGGCATGGAGGGGTTAGAGTTTCTCGTCTTAGCAGTGGGAGTTGTGCTGGTTCTTAATGCAGGGTTGGGTTCTCAAATGCGTGCAGCCCTGCATGAATCTAAGCCAAAGTTTCCTTTCCGGTCTTTTGGTTATCGAAATTGGCGCAGGCTTTCTCGGAGAGGACCTTGCCCGTAGAGCTACAATCAGGGTGGGCATACTACCGCCGCCATGCTCGCTTATGTGTGTGTATATGTATACATATCTATCTACATGTACAGCGTACACACACATCCCAACTTCTACAGTCTCGAGTTCGGTTAGTTGGGAGTGCTGAACGAAAGCCGGGGTCAGCAGGACTAGTCCTAAGACCCGCCTGAGCTCTCCGGTGCAGGCACCAAAACTGGAATGACGTTGGAGAGCATTGTATAGCGTAGTTTAGTATAGCATAGGTAGCCCCAAACCTGTACTTCCAACATCAAGGACTTCTCCGACTAAGGTGGGGGGTCGGTGCAAATGCAGTCTCCACCACCTGTGGCGCCGTGCCTCTACAGAAGAGGACGGGATCTCGACTCCAGGACGTTTAACGGTAAGGCTGGAAACCTGAACTTGTGCTTGGGGTTTAGGGTTGAGGCGCCATTGCAGCCTCTACTTGGAGGTTCATGGGTAATTATAAGTGGGCTTACATAAGTCCCCTAAGATGGGTTATAAGTATAGTTACCCTACTTATAACCCTTGTTATAACTACCCATGAACCTCCAAGTAGACTAATCTGGGACTCCAGGTTAGTTGAGGAAAGCTGTAGCAGTTCGAATGCGCTCGCTGCTTCTGTAAGTTGACGTCCCCAATACCCGAAACCCTGCGCTCGCTGCCCTAAACCCTCAAGCCCTGAAGCCCCATGCCGTCGAATCCCAAACCTAATATGCGGGTCTTAATATTTGCCTATACTGTCTTGGTGGTTCCTTACTAAAATGATAGTACATAATGGCACCAAAGACCTATCCTCATTATCAATGCCACTGCATTATATCAAGAAGTGGCTTGTTGCATAACAGAAGCCGAGCAAGGTTGTGGGGCTCGGGGTTGGAAGTTTGGTGCGTAGCTCCACATCCCCAACCCGGAAAACCAACGGAAGATGATCCAAGCAACATGGCAGCCTGTCGCCCTCAATGGCACTGCCTTGGGGTTTACCAGGTATCGGTTTAGGAGAATGTTCGAAAAGCCACATTGCTTAAGATGGAGCCCCAGCTATAAACAATTTCAGGGACTGTTGAAATCGACACAGGGTTTAAGCTCCCTTAAAGGGGTCGAAAGAGGTTACCATAAGGGTTCCTTTAAAGAGATCCATTAGGGGGTCTTATCTATAAGGTATCCCTGTGTTTAGGGGTTTGGGGCTTTACAAGGGTTCCTCTAAAGGGGTAAGGAGAGTTGAGGGCCTATCTGGATATCCTCATGAAGTATCCTAAAGAGTCCGGCAGCCCACAGAAGGGAGCATGCAGATATGCCAACCCTAACACTTCGGAGACCAGCCCTGAACCCCTAAAGCTCCGAAGTACTCAGCAGACTGCAAACCACATGCCTCGCCTCGATTGTCCGAGTGTGAGCGCCGAAAGCTCCGAAGTGATTGCACCATTGTCAACACAAAGAATATCAAAGGATGCTTCACTCCACCTCTCGAGA